TACGCCGCCCTTGGTCATAGAAATGATGTAATTTGAATATAAATTATTTATAAATACGTATGTCAAATTATATATTTATTACGACGCAAAATATATTTAAGAGTTTACGACCACTGTGATGGGTGAGACGTTGTTGAAACAAAAAAGTTATGCATTCCATCACGTACATAAACAGTGTCGTAATTCGCCAAGTGCAAATCAGCAAATTCGTAAAATTTTTGTATATTTTGAACAATCCGGATAATCGAGGTCCGGATAATGGAGGTTCTACTGTAATTAGTACAAAAGCTTTACCATATACAGTAAGACCTTGTTTAGCACTTCTTCAATTAACACTGATTCAATATAATGTGGTCTGCTTGAAGCCTAAAAAATCTCAAAATTTATGCTGATTCAAATTATCATGGCATTTTATTGATTCACATATAGTATGATTATTCTCAAACACAAACCACAAATCAGCAAAAGGTGGCAGTTTGTCTTAGCACTGTACTTCTTCTAAATCTATGCTTGTTTGGTGCAATTTTGGAAAAAAATATAACACCATGGATGCCATGGGCAATATCAACTTTGCTTGGCAAGAATTAACTGATTAATGCATGAATGGAGTGTGGAAGAAAGTATAGCTGGAAGTATCCAAGGATTTTCAATAAGAAGAGCCTATCATTGACCAAATTGTCAACTTAATTGATACAGCAGGACTAGGAGATGTAGATGAGCAGGTTTTTGAGGAGTTACTGCTGGTTTCTGGTGAAAGCCTTATCAATGATGACCTTCAAGAACTGGCAGAACAAGGAATTCATGTAGAACTGGAAAATAGTGATTCTGAAAACAAAGAACCCAAAGAACTTGCTGCAGATTTCCTTAGTAAAAGTTTGGTAATGATAACTGAAATCATTGATCAAACTGTAGTGGATGATCCAGATTTTGAAAGGAGTGCAAAAGCAAGACGAAGCATTTTGGATGCAATCTCCTGCTACCAACATTTGCTTGACAAAAGGAAAAGAAAGTGACAAATGACCCTAGAAGATTTCATTGCAAAAAAATCAAGAATTTCAGAAGAGCCAGAACCTTCATCACAAAAATGAACTTTATATTTCTGTGTGCATATGTTTGTGTTATGTAACACACATTATTATGCAAATTAATATAAAAATAACTNGATGCAATCTCCTGCTACCAACATTTGCTTGACAAAAGGAAAAGAAAGTGACAAATGACCCTAGAAGATTTCATTGCAAAAAAATCAAGAATTTCAGAAGAGCCAGAACCTTCATCACAAAAATGAACTTTATATTTCTGTGTGCATATGTTTGTGTTATGTAACACACATTATTATGCAAATTAATATAAAAATAACTTAAAATTAAAGTAAAATTTTATTTTTGTCTGCGTGTTTCCCTTTCCCTATTTACTGTGTGTTAAAATGACCTCATTTAACACTGTTTAATTTAGCACTTTGTTGTCTAGGGACACGTCCTAAGTGTTAAACAATGTCTTACTATATAATAAAATATTTTCTAGAAAAATTGAGATTTCACATTTATCTGCAATTAAATATATATCAGTTATATGAATAATGAATTTCTGAGAATTATGTGATATATTAATGTACAAATGTTATTGTTAATTAAATATTCAAATTTATATCTACAGATAAAATACTTTATACCCGGAGTCGGCAACCTTTCAGTGGTGGTGTGTCGATAGTGTTATTCCGAGTGCCACTGAAAATTGTCCCGTGTGTCACAGGTTGCCTACCCCTGCTTTATATAATACTAGCAAAGAATGCCCAGCATTATTCGGGAACTCTGGGAGAAAATTGAGTTGTCCTCATTGTAAGGTAGCCTGTGTTTCCTGCAGGGTGGCAGACAATAAGTATGCAAAATTTAGTCCAAATAAGTCAAAGAATTCAGTAATTTGTGGGTGATGAAATCAGAAAAGGCATGAGGGTCCAAGTTTTAAAGTAGCATATATTTTTTGAAGAATTGTAGATAGCAGCTATACAAAATTTGTCCAGATTGCTCAAAAGATTTGGGAGTTTGGTGTAGGGAATGAAATCAGAGAGAAGTGAGAGGTCAGAGTTTTATGGTAGACCATGTTTCCCATAGAGTACCCAAAACCAAATAGATAATAAGTTTAAAAAAGCCCTCTAGATGGTGAAGAGGATTGAACTTGAACAGAGCAGACAAACACAACAGGAGACAAATGCCATGATCAAAACGTTATTTTCGTGCATTTTCCCTTTTTAATATGAAAATAGCTTATGATTGTCTGGAAGGAATAAACTTTCTAATAGTGAAAGAGCTTTAAAACTCTATTCAGTAAATTCCAAGATTACTTCCAACAAACAAACAAACATTCTTGCTTTATATATCATTATAATACAATATAAAAATGTTATTTCAAACATGTATAAGATATTTCTACATTATTTTTGCATGATGAGATTTTCTACTGTAATGTTTTTACTAGACATCATCATAACTAATTTTTTGATAAACTGCTGAAAGCATCCTTTGAGATTGCTTTCTCTTTATATCACTATCAAGTTAATGGAATGAAGTTATGTATATTTTACTATTTTAAGATTTTAAATAAATCTTAAAACTGGTATTGACTTTAATTTAGTGTTCAGAAAATTTAAGAAAACTATGTAATATTCAGAATTTTATTCAATAATATATTATGAAATATTTTTTTGTATTTATTAAAAAAAACTTATTAATTTATTTGAGTGATTTATTTATTACAGGAAGATGGAAAACAAATAGCTGAATGTAGAGTTCGTTTTCTTTCTTTCTTGGGAATTGGAAGGAATGTGAAGTAAGTGTTTATTGCAGTTAACATTGTTTATATGTGTGTGAATTTTTAATTTAGTTATATATTTAGATACAGACAATTAGAAATGATATGTGAAACTCTATTATGTGAAAATATTTAAGATTATTTTTGATAATAGAACTAAACAATGTGAAGATTACTCTCATATTAAAAAGATTTTTGTATCTATTCTATATCTAACAATCTAAATATTATTAATTTGAGTTTAATGAACATAATTACTTTATTTGCTAAGTTCTGAAATACAGTTTTGAAGCAATGGAAACATATCCAATATGTCATAGCACTGAAAGATTTCAATGTTGATGATAAATTGTTAATGAAAACTTTCAGTATTTCATTTTATAGAAAGTTATAAATTATTAGTAACTATAAAAGCTGTTGATATAGAATTCAGTTTTTACAACTAAACAGAAGAAAAGATTATTAAAAAAAACAATTTATTAGTTTTATAATTTTTTTTAAGCAAAATAACATTTTCTCTCTGTGATTTTGTTGAGATATAAAAATTTACAGTCGACCCCCCCTATAACACTGTTGATAATTCCGTTTTATATGAATTCCATGTTGTATGAGTCACTTAAATTTTACAAATAAGTGTGCCGGGCTGTGAACGGCTCACGTATTTGTAAAATTTAAGTGACTCATACAACATGGAATTCATATAAAACGGAATTATCAACAGTGTTATAGGGGGTCGACTGTATTACATATTTTGGATTTTCATAGTCCAGCCTAAATGAAATATTGTGAGGTTTGCCAATAGGGAGAAGAGGGGACGGTTTCCTCTTTTTGTCAAGATGAACAAGGGGTGCAAAAGTAAAATGGTGTGGTTGTTGACACTGAGACAGTCACCTTTACAACACAAGCCATTTATTTGGAAAGACAACGCTTACACAATTCCAATTGAGAATTCCTTCTCTTGATCAGACATGTATAAAGTTCAGTCTATGGTCATTGTCTTTCATCCACACGGTCTGACTGGGATCAGTCAGAGTCTCAATGGTGATTGGATGAAGTTTTGACAGCAATTGGTGGTGCCGAGGCAAACTGGCTGGAAGGCGGTGTTAAATGTCAAGATGTAGGTGACAAAGACAAAGGAAATCAACACAGGATAAGCAGGTCGAAAGAGAAAGGTGACCATTCTTGTCCTTAAATCTTGGGGCTTATAAAGGATTTCTCCTTGAAATTCTGAGTTTGATTGGTCACAAATTTCTCTCTCCACCTTCTGATCGGTTCCTTTCCTGTTTCCAGGTTGGTTGACCTTTGAAACTTTTGCTCATATCTCACACCATGATATTTTCTTTTCTGACGTCTAAGAATATTTTTTGTGTTTATAACTTACAATGCAGTAGTTTTTCCTTTTAAATGAACATTACGTTTTCTCATTTATTTCTAAATTTTGTCATGTCTATGAGTGTTGGAGTCAGAGCTTGGTCTTTCCAATTGACATTCTAAACATTCCAACCTGTTAGTTCATGACAGCTTGTGACCTTGTGGGGTCAGCTGTAGTGTTTATTTCATACCTTCATGACAGATCTATTTCATACATTTTTTTTATAAGAAAATACCTTCTCAAATGAATTGAATTTTTGAACATTTGATGAGATTTGGACTATCTAGGACATCACAATATTAATGTAAACACTTCATATATTTTTTCTAATTGAGTGTGTAGTTTAACTTTTTATATGTGTTTAATTATTTTGTTGCTGTTTTATGATTTATCACTACTTAATTTTAATTCAAAATAATTTATAACAGACATTGTGCTTTCATAATGCATACTGCCCAAGATCAGTTCATAGCTCATGTATTTCATTGTGAACCTTCTTCTGGAGCTATGTGCAAAACAATTGAGGCAGCTTGTAAGGTAAGTAAATATGTTATTTTCATTAAGTAGATTCTCAAAATATTAACTTTTATTATTCATGATTATGATTTAAGCATTTGTAAATTGATTATTAATTTTAGTAAAATAATATATTTTACAAATAAATTTTGTAAATTATCTGTAAAGATTTACAAATAGGCACAAAAGTTATTTTTATTTGATCTATATTCATTTTTATGTTTTATTAGCAATTAATTTAGAAGGAAATAACTGTTTCTTTGTAAAGCTATTTTTGTTTTTATTTTAAAATGTTTGTTCTTTTCTTTTAACTAATTTTGTAATCTCCAAAAAGAAAATATTTGAAAATTTACTTTATATTCCATAAAAATAACTTTCTTTGTAAGATATATATTATATATGAAAGTAAATGTTTTTATCTGTGGACTATTTAAGTTTTTAAAATTTACTATTTTAATAAGCTATCAGAAATTGTATGTTTGTTTTAATCACTGATTAACATAAATATAATACCTAATGTATTTACATAATTGAATACGAATTTATTCTGAGTGAATTATATTAATTTAATTTTATGGCATTAAATGTGTTCAAAGATTAATGTAAACATATTTAATGAAAATTTTTTAATTATTTTACTGAAACTTTTTCTAGTTGCGATATCAAAAATGTTTGGATGCACATAGACAGATTCAAGAAAAAAAGAATGCAGAAGCACAGCAAAATAAGGTAATGTAACAATTTATTAAATAATAATTATTTAATCACAAGTTTAATATTTAAAAATTCAAGTTATAGATCAATTATAATATTGTTTCAAACTAAAAAATAATATTTAATCTAAGTTGGCACTCATTGTAAATATCTAATGATTAAAAAATAAAAAAATGTATGAATAACGGAATAGCAATATTTTTTCTTTTTATTATGTTGATTGAGAGTTTCTTGCATAATGATCAAATTGAGTTTGGGTAATAAAAGAAAGTTACTATTTGGAGTCCTACAATTACTTATACAAGTTTGTGATCTCTTCAACTGTGTTCAACTATCAACCTGTTTTATCAATTATCATCATTAGGAAAAGTTTTCAAAATTGATTCATTGCAGATAGTTATGAGAAAATAGCTTTGATAAATTTCTGAGACAGGTACAGTACATCATCCTCACAATTAGATAATTTATATCTTGTTATGTATAATTGTTTGAGATTGGTAAAAACACTTTCATTTAAGTAATAATTTTATTCATTACTTTTAAAGTATGTGGTTATGTTAATCTTAATAATTTTTGTGAAACAATAAAAATGAAATTTAAAAATATATTTTTTATAATTTTTGAAGACATCAATAATACATTTATTTTCTGTTTTTTAAAATAATCATTACAGAAATTTTATTCAAATTTCAAAAGTTGATTATATGGTGTCAAAATATTTTGGTAATAAATTATTATTATTAACAAACAATTTATTAGCAAATATTATTCTTTTAGATACACAAACTTTGAAACTTTTGTTGTGTGTTTAATAAAACTTCAAACATGAGTACCATAGGTGGCATGGCCAATGTCACCTATTCAGCCCATATGTTGCAAAGCATATCTGATGTTACATTGTTGATTGAAACACAAATTCTGGTCCATAAATCTTCCAAATTGCATAAATTACTAAGAAAAATAGATGGAGTTAGACCAGGAGATCTAGGAGACCATGCTATGAAGTTCAATTCTTTTTCAATCCATCCTGTACTGATTATCCAAGAATTTACAGACCTTATTGGCAAAATGCAGGGAGCTCCATCTCATTGAGAAATTGTTCCTTAAGGAAGCTGAGGCACAATATTATATCTGTTACATTTCCAGATATGTTATTCTACTAATTATAGGCACAGCAAAAAAGAAGGGACCAATGATTTTGTCCTTCATTATTCACACCACACATTGCATTTTAGAGAATCACTTGTGTTCATGAACATGTAGATTCTCTGACTCCCCAATATAGCAGTTATGCCTATTCAATTTTCCAGACATTAAATGTTGATTCAACTGAAAAGCATACCTGGTCTAGAAATATACTATCAGCATCACTTTTCTGAAACAGTATCTTTGCAAATTATTTCTGTGCTATCCTATCATATGGATTAACTTATTGATGCAGTTGAATTTTGTACATCTGTAAATGCAAAAGCTTTTATGGACTACCTGATGTATTGTTGTTGGTAGGATGTTTAGTTGCATATTAGCCTTTAGGATGAATTTTTCTGAAATGCCTATTGAATCTGATTAATGTTTTCCTCAGAGACCTTACACTTAGCATGTTTGCCAATCATTGGTACCAAACTTTCCATTTCTCTGAGTTGCTTCTTCCATTTCACAATGGGCACATAGGTCAGGATGATTTCCTTTGCTCCAAAATTGTATTTATGCTGAAAATGCACTGCACATGTGTCATAGACATTAATTCCATAAATGATAACACACACAACATTTTCTTCTGTGAAGACCAAATGACTGATGCAGAAGCTTTAACTGCAATATGCATGTGCTGCATGCTACAGTTCACCATGTAACACTTGCCAGTTTCACATTTGCTTTTTAAATGGAATAAACCTTAGTCATTTGAACTCATACTTTGTATATTTTGACTGTTTCTTTTATTATACTTCTAAGTGGAACACCTGTATATAAAATAAGTCATTGTTATACACTGTAAATAATTTTAAATACTTTAATTAAAACTTATTCTTTTGATTATAAAAGAATATAAAAATATTTTGAATTTTTTTATTGATTACCACCTAAAATCAAATGTATTTGAAAATAAAAGAAACTTTTAATGAATATAAATATCACCAAACACTTGAAGTTCTCTGCATTTTAGTTTTTATAAAAGCATCATTAATCAGAAACTGAATACTATTGTTATAATCCAACCAATGTCGTATGTAGTTTATAATGTATCAGGTTGTAATGTTGTTGTTTGTTTTCTGTTATTACATAAATTTTACTCTAATTGAGAATTTGCCTCTGTGCCATTTAATCTATATTTAAGCTATTTCAACATATACTTTGTAGAATTTCTCACTTGATAATTAAATCTTTTCTCAGAATTCAGAGATATATGTATATATCTGTATGTTGTTTTAAATTTTTTTAATACATGCAATTCCATTTTTAGTTACCCTGCCAAACAGTTTTCATTAAAATCTGACAATCTCAAACATTCATGCCTAAAGCAGAATTTGAACCTACAATCCAACAAACTAGAAACAACATCTTTAACACATTCAGCCACCAAATAATCATACCCTAAAAAATAACAAATTATATTTGAATATGGTTATTATCCATTTGATATTCTGAGATGTTTGCAGGAGGCCATTCATGAAAAAAACCAGAACGATGGAAAAGCAGAAAGTGAGTGCTACACCATGACAATACACCTGCCCATATAGCATTACTTGGGTAGTAATTTGTTAAAACATGGAACAATGCAGCTACCACACTTTCCATATTTCTAGGACCTGGCTCCAGTGTATTTCTTGAGACTTAAAAAGTTTTAAAAAGCTGCCAATTGACACTGTCATGGACATTAAATAGAAGTCAACAGAGACATTAATAGTCATTCCCAAAGAAGAATTCTGCAAATGTTTCCAACAATGACCAGATTGTTGGGCTATATATGTCACTGCAGGAGGGGCTTAGTTTGGAGGCAACTTAAACTAAACTTCAGTAAGTCTAGTATGCATCTCTGACAGATATCAGCTGGATACTTTTGGACAAGCCATGTATTTTCTTTCCTGCAGGCCAATGCAAGGACAGCACACCTAAAAACAAATATCTGAGACTTAAACTATATGTATCTATGAAAATTATGTGTGTACAGTTTATATCTGGAAAGTAAATATTATATGTATATGAATCATTGTGAGTACTTGATTTTGTGCAATAATGTGTTCAATAATGTTTTTGCAGTTCTTCAATCAATCTTAACACAGTATAGTCATCAGACTGTTAGGAGTATGTGTAAATCATCAGAAAGCATACAGCATCATACACTGGTATAAAATGTACAGCAATGTCTGCAATGCTCAGATTGCATTTAACTTATCAAATTTTAAAAATAAAGTTCAGTAATCCAGCATTTTGATAATCTGCTACAACTTTGGCCGCATAATGTCAATTTAATGGACTTTTACTGTAAAAACAACAACAATAATAATAATAATAGAATCCAGTTTAAATTGAAGTTAGAATTCTTCTTCTTATCCATTTAGTCATGTCTGACTCTCAATCACTCTATGGATCAAAGCTCTCTATCCTGCACATCCTCCTTCAATTCTGTTATAGATAATTCGGTGTCACTTTTGATTGTGTCGAGCTATCACATCCTTGGTCGTCCTTGCGCTCTTTTTCCGCTAACCATCCCCAGCATGACCACCTTCTCAAGGGAGTTGGTTCTCATTATATGACCAAAAAAGGAGTTTCTGTTTGGTTATCTGGACAGTTTTGTTGGTGATCTGCACTGTCCATCAAATGTGCAAAAGCCATCTCCAACACCACAGTTCAAAATCATCTATCTTCCTTCTGTCCATTTTCTTTAGATTCCAAGTTTCACATCCATATATGACAATAGGAAAAATAATCATGCTAACTAATTTGCATTTAATTTGGTGACAGATGTTTTTACTCTTCCAAAAGCTGTTCATGCTGATCATCAAGGTTCGTCCAATGGCTATGCATCTTTTGATCAGGACTGCAATCTCCATTACGGTTGATTTTGGACCCAAGGAATATGAAATCTTCCACTACCTCAATTTCTTCACCATTGATTACTATTTTGACTTCTGTATTCTGTGCAGTAGTCATTATTTTGGTCTTCTTGAAGTTAAGCAGCAGCCCTACCTTTGCACTTTCGTGCTTGACTCTCAGAAGCAGCTGCTCAAGATCTTCCTGACTTCCTGCAAGCAGCATAGTATCATCCACATATCGGAGATTATTGATTTTCCTGCCTCCAATTTTCACTCCAATGTTAGACTCATTCAAATATGCTTTCCTCATCGCCACCTCTGCATACAGATTGAATTGTGATGGTGAAAGGATACAGCCCTGGCAGGTACCCCTTCTGATCTTGAACCAGTCTGTATCAGCATATGGCATTCTTACAGTAGCTTCTTGTCCATTATATAATGATTGTATGAGCTGGGTGAGATGCAGTGAGATTCCCATTTCCTTGAGGCACTTCCACGATTTGTCATGATTAATACAATCAAAAGCCTTTGAGTAATCAATGAAGCACAAGTATAGATCTTTTTAGTATTCCCTCGCTGTTTCCGTCATCCAATGAAGATTAGTGATATGATCACGTGTTCCTCTTCCTTTTTGGAAACCTGCCTGTACATCTGGCATTTCTCTGTCTATGGTTAAGTACATACGCTGTTGAATGATCTTCAGTAGAATCTTACTAGCGTGTGAAACCAGAGAGAATATGCAATAGTTGGAGCAATCTTTGGTATCGCCCTTCTTTGGTATGGGGATAAAAATAGATCTTTTCCAATCCTTTGCCCATTGGTCATTCTTCCACACACTACAGCACAGTGCTTTCAAAACTTTTAATGGTACTGGTTTCAGTAACTCTGCTGGTATTCCATCGACTCCTGGGGCCTTGTGGCTAGCCAGTTGTTTGAGTGCCCACGCCCCCACTTCTTCTAAGATGTCTGGCTCCAACTCTG